GAGGGGGCTGCCACACACCTCCCCCGCCCCGGGCCCAGCCCACTAGTGCACGGCCTTGGATGGGTCAGACTGGGTCCATTCAGCATGTATGGAGCCCGGGTCACGCAGAGCTGTGTTGCCACCCATTGTGCCTGTGGCCACTGGGTGGTGGGGCAGGCATGTGGCAGCCCCAAAGCCATCCCTAGGGCTGTGTGAGGCCCAGGGCATACCAACCTGACCTGATCCAGCCCGGGCCATGCAGTTAGTTTGCGTTTGCACAGGAGCTGCACCCCCCATAGCCGGACAGGATTTTGGTAGCACCACATCTGGGGAACAGGGAGAAGCAATGTCCAGGTCCCAGCACTGGCCTGCCTCAGACTCAAACTGGTTCATCCTGGCCCAATGCCAGAAAAAGTTGTTGACAACTGTATTAGACTCAGTTGTAACAGCAAATATCTAGCTTAGTCAAATCAGTTGTATAACATGCGTGTGAAAGCCCCTAAGAACTCCAGACTCGAGATAAAATTATCATACTGTGTTTCACATGGAACTTTGTAACAGTAGACTACAAAGCATTTAACAAAGAAGAAAAGGACAATATTATTATACCTATTTTACAGATGGGCAAATTGATAGAAGTGACCCTTTGAGTTTCATCAACTGACTCCAGTTCTCCATTTTTTATTGATAATCTCTTGAGTTCTTCTCAGTCTATACACAAAAAACTGAGGATTACAACCTAACTGCATTGTCATGCAACAGAATCAACTCTGCATCACCATTAACTCACTACTGCACTAGTCTGTGTTGAAAGCGGTCAAACCAGTGGAAAGAGATTTGTAAAAAAGTGAGCTGTACAGAAAGTGACATTTTACATAACCTCTGTCACTTGTCTGCTTTTTTTTTCTTTTTTAGTATTAGATAAGATTAAGATACGTGAGTGAACTGACCAGCGAAAAAATGCATTTTGTAGGCATTTCCATCCTTATTTTAAATTCCAGGAAAAAATTAACATGCACAAATTTATAAACTAATATGAACTTATCTTTAAATCAGAAAAGAAAGTACTGAAATCATACCTGTTCCTTTTTCAGATCAAAAAGAAACAACTGTCATAATGAATACACATTTCACAGTACATTTATACATCTAAATTTTAGGTTTATTAAAACCATGACCAAAATCCTCCACCTACTCACTATAGCATTGTTTCACTCCAGAGTTCCCAACCCACATGTTATTTTGGACTGACAAATAATTCATTCTTGCTTTTGATTAGCATAAGATAGTGAAAACTATCTAGGACAGCTAAACAAAATTCTAATAACATAACAGTCTATGGCAGGGTTAGGCAATTCAAGCACACACACCAGAGTGGCACATGAAGACATTTTGCTTGGCATGTGCACCTTGGGGCAGACGGTGGGCAAGTGGCTGGGGCTGTGCTGACATAACAAGGATGAGGCCCCTCACAGCTCTCCCACCACCCACCCCTGGCATGCCAACATCTCACATGTTACCTCTCAGCTCCATGTTCTTGGGGAACCCTGGCACAGGACGCAGCCTGTCCGACTCACAAAGAACTCTCTCCCTCCCCACCTCGGCCTGAACAAGAACTGATTAGAGGAAGGACTTACAAAAGACAAGGAAGATGCCGTGGGAGACGCACGTAAAGCCCTCCAGACAAGGGCGACAAGAGTGAAGCAACTCCCCTGGTCTCATCTGTATCCGAGATGGAACCAGATGACAACTCATTTAAATGGGAGCCGGGGCAGGCATGCACCTTCATTAGCATTCAGGATGGAGAACAGAGATTCCAAGGCAAGGACCGCACTGAATTCTGGGATCAGAAATGCACAGGAGCATTGCATGATGGGGGATCCCTGCTCCAAATGCTAATCAACCCACATCTACACGCACCCAGCTCAGCATTTATCAGACCAACTCTAGTAATGACTCCTCTATTGGTATCCAAAACACTGAATCTGCCTGTCTGTATTATGAGCTCCCTCAGAGTAATGCCATCCATGGCCAGGAGTGATCAGTTCCTATTATCCAGCATATGAGCCAATGTTTACCCCTAAACAAACCTAGTTTCCTCCCTTGAGCCATTGTTTGTTCTCTACAAAACCCCCTACCCAAGCTCAAGTGTCTGTCCTGGTGCTTAGATCCAACGCTGTACCAGTTCCACTCCTTTTCTGCCTGGAACCTCTCCATTGTTCATGCTGAGGGCTCTGCCTGTCTGCCAGCTCCAACAATGCCTAGAAACCTCGACTGGTTCAAGCTTCACTGAGTGGTGAAACCCCAACTCTCTCTCTCTCTCTCTGACTCCAGGAACCTAACTTTTACTCTCTTACTCCAGGCACAGCTTTCTAAACCTAACTTATGCGAATCAAACCCGAGCTAGACTTCCTCAAAACCCTAACTGAAACTATGTAATATTGTAACTCTTCATTTGTCTCTCTCATATGGCTATTATTATTGGTATCATCATAAGTTCATATACCTGGCAATAAATAATGTTTATGGTCAAGCTGGTCGCTATACTTTCTCTCGGAACCTCACCTACTCTTTCTTCCCCTTGCCCCCCCGCCCCCCATCTGCTCTACAGCAGCGCTTTTTTTACCTAAGCCAAAGATCCCTGTAATGGCCAAAACCACAGTGGGGTCTGCTCATCAAGGGAGTTACTACTAGGACCACTGTGACAAGAGTTTGGGAAGTGCTGAGTTTTGAGGCGCATGAGGGTATCAGCTGAACATGCTGATCAGACATACTCTGTTAGTGTGTGTGTGTGTGTGTGTGTGTGTGTGTGTGTGTGTGTGTGTGTGTGTGTGTGTGTGTGTGTGTGTGTGTGTGTGTGTGTTATTGTGCTGCTGAAATAAGGGATGAACTCAGTTCAAGGCACATGAAGGTGTCAGCCTGTCAATGCTAAATAACCCAGCCTGGCTCAGGCGTATCCTGTTGATCTGTGTGTGTATGTGCGTACATGTGTTTGACTGATTCGGTGGTTGGAGGAACCCAGCCCCATTGAAACAGAGCCCTGCAAGATAGCTCTATTGGGGGTGAAGACTTGCAGAAGGGAGAGATACAGCTCCATATAGAAACACAAGTAACACAAGCAGCACATTGACAGAATTACAGAGACCCCCCAGAAACATACCTCTAATACATGAGCACACCCCAAAGTGATGGGCAAATCTGGTAACACACACGTCGAGGTTGTGGATGTTTTTGGCCCTGTCCAAAAACATTACTGACCCCTGGTCTATGGCACATGTCAAAAACTAATACACATCCAAAAGATGTAATTAACCAATAACATGAAGCTTTTGACTTCCACACACACCAGAGGAGAAGGTTAAACTAAGTATGGGTTTTCTGGAATTTAGCTCACCAGACAGTTCTGTTTCCCCTGTATTTGTCTAAATATGTTAGTAGTAACAGGTAAAGTGACAAAGAAATAGATTGCTGTGACTGTGATATGATGAACAGTATAATCCAAAACCAGAAAGTCTTTTATCAATTATACTCAATACAGAAAATATTTAGAAAAATCCAGTAACTAAGTATAACATTAAAACAGAAGTTACCTTTGAAGGTTTCAAGTTCATTCCTGTAAGAGAAAAAACCAGAATGTAAAAATCTCAGATTTGAATCTAGGCAACATTTTTTTAATCATGGCTGGGATCTTTAATATTTCACAAGGCTTTATGATTTATTAAAAGGTAAACTGCAATGGATTTGACTGTTGTGATCTACTTTATTAATTGAAACTTATCTGCTTATTCTGTGTATCTACGTATAAGAAATTGCTTATTTGGGGCAAGTGTTATCATCTCCTTTAGAATCTAAGGTATTTTATACACTTACAAATATTTCATATTTGCTCTGATTGCAAAAATCTGCTGAACACAAAGTTAACCAATGCAGACTTCTTAGCTCCTCAGACAGTTAAACACCTCTCTTGCTTATCAGAATTTAGCTAAATTGCGGCAGAATGAAAACCAATTAGTATCCCAGTAGTTTTCACTACTTGTATTCCATTTCTGAGCCTTACACCTAGTTATACATCATCAAGAAAAAGCCGATCATTTAAGGTTTTGATGAGTTCAGGTTTTGGGGGTGAGGAATAGAAATGGTAAGAAAAGAAAAAGGCTAAAAGAAAAGCCCCAGGAGGAAGCAGTGTATAAAAAAGAAAGGAAAGAGCAAACAGAATTGGAAAATCTGGTTCATAATGTTTCACAGTACAGAAAGAAGTAAAAGGAAGCATGAAAGCAAAAGGTGACAAAAATATAACTAATACAGGAAGCAGACAGCCCGTGGAATACATTTAAACTGCATTTCAGACTACTGCCAATAACAGGCAGAGAGACTCCTTTGTCAAACAGTTATGTCTAGTATTTTATATGGTTTGTACATGATTAAATACGATTTAATAATATTAGATGAATCCATTCAAATATTCTTTCTACATCTCCAGATCAAGTAGCAAGTTACAAGTTTAAGAACATATTTATTAGTTTGTAGGCTCTGAAATAAGGATAATGTCTCCTTCTGCTTGGTACAAATTTTGGGTGTTACAGGAATATAAATACCTCCCCCATGCTTGCCCAGGAGTGCACACAGCAGTAGGAGCCACCCTTCCCCCATCCCTACATCCTCCCCAAATGAGTTGCTCACAGATCCATCCCATGCTCCACCCCGGCTGGGCCACGCCTATTGGTGCCCCTTTGTGCCGATGCCCAGGGCGGTCACCCCGCTCGTCCCTCCCTTGTAACAGCCCTGGTCCTGTCCAAGAGTGAGCACAGTACTCCATATGAGATCTCACCAGTACTGAACAGAGTAGAAGAATTCTCTCCCTTGACTTGCAAGCACACTCCTATTAACAGGAGCCTAGTATGTTAGTGCCAGTAAGAGCACACTTTTGGTTCATAATTCATCTCAAAAGGCTCAATAAAACACTTAGTGAATGATTATAGTTTAGGTTTCCCTTTAAAAAAGTAGGACAATTAACATATGAAGATAAGTAAGGCTTCTTGTCATTCTCCTTTAAAACACAGTAAATATAGTAAGAAATATAAGCAGAAATATGTCAAAGGTAAGCAAAAACATCCAGTGGTATGCTTTTATTCTGAGTGTCACTACAAGCCTTAATCGTCACATTTTGCAGCAAATGCTAAAAAAACCCCAAAAAACCCCCAAAAACAAAAAACTTTTTATAAAAACTGCCTATGGAAAAGAAAAGAAAATTACACCTCAATTTGACAACACATGCAAGTATGTTTTTGGATCAGCAACCAGAGACAATGAAAAATTAACATTAAAGCTGATTACAAAGCCATTTAACTCCCTAGAATATCAAAACAAGTTTCTAGGTCTTTAAACAACAAAAACTCACTCTCCTCTGAAGGCATTTTTGTGAAAGTTGATATGTACTGGAAGCCAATGCCATCACTGCATCTAAAACGGTTTATAAACTCATGTCTTTGCCTGTTCTCCTTGCAATGGCCCACAGGAATGTCAATGTTGATTAAGAAATCTAAATCTTGCCTAAGGAAGAGCACAGTTGGAAGAAAACAGAAATAAGTGCAAGACAAAGTGCATTTTTAGATCGGTGCAGACACAACCGGATTCGATCAAACAATTAGTGTCTTCTCAGAGATTAAAATATTGAATGTCCAGGTGGGAAGAGCTGAAACCTACAGGACTCCTTGTCAGTTTTCTAGACACAAGCTCTTTCTTAGCATTCTGAATAAATCTACTAGTTTAAGTCAGCATCCTCAGTCTCCCTCCGCCCACCATTTCATTATAAGGTATATGGTATCCTTCCTTCAGCTCCAAAACATGATTCACTGCTGAATTTATTTTTGCATCAAGTACAGGAAAACTGCTTCATCCAAATCTGAAGCATATGCTGCTCTAAAAACAACAGAAAGTAGTTTCATAATGGAGGGACAGAAAAAAAGCCCTGCACCTAAACCTACATTTTCAGTGTACCACAGAGGTGGGCAAAATATGGCCCAGGGGCAGGAACTGGCCCACCAATTCACAGTATCTGGCTTGTGGCTGTCCCCACAGTGCTCTGCAGGGGACCAAGCCTCACCCAGAGCAGCCTGTGCCTGCTCTGGACTTGCTGATGGCACTGCCCCAACCCCAGCCCCAGCCACCACAGTTTCCCAGCAAGGCTGCTCCCGGTGCAGCTGCAGCTGCCTGGATACTTCTCAGCTTCTCCTGCCTCCAGCGGCTCCTCTTCCTCCTGCCCCTGCTGTGCTACTTCAGGCAGCAGGTAGCGCGAGGAAGTGATAGTGGACAGGGGAAAGCTGCAGCTGGGCAGCTCTTGCTGCAGCACACACAGCTCCTGTTCCAGGCTGCCTTCCACCGACTCTATGCCTGCCACCTATGGGCAGCGAGTGGGTGGAAGGCAGTTCCACTGGGACACACTGCGTCCTGGCCAGGACTGGGGTCAGGACTGCAGTGCAGGCTGCCCCAGGCGGGGCTCTGCCTCATGTAGAGTGCCTCATGGGCAGCCGCAGGCCAGATAGGGCAGGCAGTGGGCCACACCTGCGCCGCACTGCTCTGCTGCATGTGCCCCTTGCCCCCGTCCACCCCCAGCTAGCTCCCGGGACCTAACATGTGGACAGCCCCTAAACAGACATGTACACCTGCCCCCACCCCCAATATACAAGAGTAAGACTGTATTTCAAGCTATTATGAAATAGCCTTTGTATACACCACTCAAAAAATATAAAATTGGGACAAAACATTTTTTAAATTAAAATATGTTATAGTAGATGTTCGATTTTTAATACACGATTTGTTTTTTTATCTATCATTTGCTAAAATCATATCTTCTGAAAGATGTGTGTGCAGCCCTCGACAGCTCACCAAAACTTAAGTAGCCAGCTGAAATAATTGCCCAGCCCTGGTGTACCATGAGGCACTTCTACCAGCAAATGACAGACCTAAAGTTTCTACCTATTCTAAACAGAATTACCAAGTTATTAAACTCTCCTTCAACACTGCCTTCTTCACACTGCTCACATTTAAATACTGAAATCTATTTGACAAGAAACAATAATAGGAAATGAATGTTTTCCACCGACAGAAATAAAAATACATTGAGGAAACACCTTGTAAAGTTCTGTTCCTCTTCTTTTTTACACGAATTGGTCCTAAAATTAGGAGCTCTGATGCTGCTGCTCTTCGAAAGGGAATACAGCTATAGGTGCTGACAGGTGCAGTACCAGAGATGAGCCAACAATGCAGGCTACCTCTTGAAAATTATGCCTCCTGCTTTTGCCCAAAAAGAAGGAGTCTGACTTAACACGCCCATTTTTTTTTTTTTACTGTTGGTCCCTCAAAACAGTCATGGCAGCTTTCTGACCACCATTTGTTAGCAAAGTTACGAATCTACAACACAGTTCCATTTTATGTGATTTAGGGTTACAGAAGCATTTTGTAATTATATTATTGAAGACAATTTTACTAAAGCAGAAGTGGAAAAACCAAATAATTAGAATGTGTAGTATTTTCAGCATACAGATACCAATTTCAAATGGAAAGATTTTTCTCTGTATCACGGGAAAACCACCAAATCAACAATTTTAGCACTTCTGCTGATCCCTCAAATTACACTATTAAACTGATACTTCCAGAGATGCATCTCAATATGTACTCATTGTATATAACCAGTAATTGGCATAACTCAAGCAGCTGAACATTAACCTACCTGATTCTTAAACCTCAGTTTTCAAATGCATTGCAATGTCCCTTATTAGCAGGTACCACTCATCATGCATTTTTTTTTGTCATCAACTATTGGGAGTTAAGGAGAGCAGCATCTACTTATGGGAGATACTTCATTATAGTATGGGAGCTCTGCAACACTGCACTAGTTTCAGGTCCTGAATAGATTTAAAAGGAATAGCTTCAAGTAGAACATTTTGCATCAATGCAATCTCCTGGTAACAAAAGGCATAGATCATCTTAGCAAAAGATCCAGAAGAAACTATTGCAAATTTATTGCCAGATATATTTGGAGTGGGGAGAAAGGAAGCAGCCTCTGTTACTGCTAATGTGGTTATCTAAAATTGTCTGCTTTCATAACAAATGATAGGTATATAGTTATCCAAGTAGGTTCAAATGATCTCACCCAAGACTCAGTTTCTTTCCCAATTTATCACTTCAGGTCTTATCCAGATTGAGTGTTGACTAAGTCCCTGGCAGACCTTACATTTGTGGTATATTTTATGTTTTAACAGTACCATAACTAGTAACCCTGTCACACATTCAACCCATTAATAGTGTGATGGAATGAGAAAGCTTAAATGGAAGGTGTGGTGTCTAGGCCTACCCCATGGCAGATCGCATTCCTCATAACAACAATCAGATAAATGTCGGCATTGGGAGGGGGGCAGCCTCAGCCTGATTAGAGACTCCAGGCTGCGACTCGGGCACTCTATGGTCTCCAATTGGAGCTGCCCAGAGTTCTTCAAGTGCTGGGCAATGGGTGAGGGGGTAGTCCATCACCTCTCCCTACATGGTAATTTCAAATCCATGTGCTGGAAGCCCTGTATTCAGAGCTGTGGGTAAGTGCTGGGCAAGGGGAGCTGA